ACAGTATAATATCCAATGACAACACCTTTCTCTTTTAAAGAGAGAGATTAGAGTGTCCCAGGAGATCCTTATGCTCACTTGCAGGAAGATGGAAAATTGATAAAGTACTGGGTAATGTTCAGCATCAAATATTCAAGTGGCTACACTCAAATAGTTTAATGACCCATTAACAAAAGTAATTTCCATGTGCAGCCTACTTTTAAAGTAATTTATGCTTTTAATTTGCCAGCAACTTCTTCATCTTTCGCTGAAGGTCTTTTTTCCCCAAAATGTTCATGGAAATACAGGAAATGCAAAACAAGTCAATTCAAATTTTATTTATATAGTCCAAAATCACAAATCGCAATTTACCACAGGGGGCTTTACAATCTGTATGGGGTACAACACCCTCTGTCCATATGCCGTCATTTGGGATATGGAAAAACTAATGGAAAAACCTCAGGGAGAGCCACAGAGGGGGGATCTCCTTCCCAGGACATGGACGTGTAATAAATGTCGCGTATACAGAGCAGAATAACAAAATCACATACACATTTTAATGACAAAAACTTTAGTGTATGTGAAGAACGTGGCTCCAGTAGGACACTGAGCAACTTCAGGTGTTGCCAAGTGGGAGCCAAACAACGTCCTCTCTATCATGGAGACCTGGAAGAGGGCAGGCCACACAAAGAAAGAAAGAGAGCGAGAGTGAGAGGGAAAAAAAAAACTGGCACAGCTAGGAGGTATGTGGGAACAGACGTACAGACAGAGAATAGAGTTAGTCTCGTCTGCAGGACAAACATGGACTATAAATACTAGGGTTAAGAGATTCACTGAGACCGACGAACTGAAAGAACACTGGTAACAGGTGCGAGGACTGAACTAATCTGAGAACACTAACCGAAAAATTAGTTTCAAGTTTGGATTCAAATGCGTTAATGAAGTCAGCAGTATCAGTATCATTCAAGTTCCTGCAGAGCAAGATTTTTCTGAGAGTGGTGATCAGGGAACGGAACAAGTTAAGGTTATTTTAAGCATTAGGTTAAAATATTTGCAAAACTCAAGGTCTGCTGCATGTTCTGCAGCTTTTAGCTTTGTCACACCAGCTGATGATGTTTGCTTAGCTGTGATTTAACTTTAGATGTTAACTTTCCATTTATCTAAGCACCTTGAACTTCTGTGTTGACCTAAAAGTGACAGCAGTTGACAAAACAATCACAACTAAAAGGGTTCACTTGTTGAAAAAAAAAAAAAAGATTTGTTTGTGACTGAAATGGAAGTTTATTTCACGCAATCCATATAAAAATTGTTTTATACAATATTGACTGACTTACAAACCTAAATTTAACCACACCCGATTATTATTAATTTTACATACAAATCCAAAGATGTACTGCTGTGTCTAAATTTGAGACATTATCTTCTCTGAGTAACAAAACAGTGTGTAACAAGATATGGAAAAAGCAAATGTAGAGACACTGTTTAATAACTTTACATTACTGCCATCTACTGGTAAATACTGCCAGTGTACACTGCATAAATGTGAGTATAAATATTACCTTTATATTCAAATAATAACAAAAACCACAACTGACATGACAGCACCAATTGGAAAATCAGAACTTTATTACAACACACAAACATTGTATATCCAGTCACTTTCAAAGCCTACAGTTAGTCCTGAAAGCTGGCTGCAGTGGATATGAAGCCAGACCCAAGTATTGTAACTGTCAAAAACAAACCACATGCCCATCAACATCCATTACCTCTGGACACTTCACAACATACAGAATAGATCTGAGCATGCCAGACTCCTGAAAAACCCAATTACTTTGCATAATAATGTACTGTACAAACTTCTATTGCATATTGACGCACTGTACAAAACCAACAAACTGCTCTGTAATATAACTGAAAAACATCAACCAGGTTTAGGAGCAGGTTTAGTATGCTGCAGTGTGAACGGTAAAATGACACCAATGTGGAACTGAAGGTGCATGATAAATAACTGAAGCTGGGGCACAGCCATACTACATTGACATATTTGAGAGATTCTCACCTCACTGCTTGAGTCCCAAATATTAAAACATGTGAAAAGCACCTCTGACTCAGTTTGTGCTAAGGCAAACATGACACTTATGTAAAAAGAAGGCAAACGAATCAGCTAGAACAGTAACCGAGCTGCCATATTAACACAAGTTAGAACTTACTATAGTCTATGAATCAGGCGCTTCCCGTATTCGAAATACATATTATAAAAGGTGTTTTATGTGCAGATTAAAACACAAGTTGTAGGGGCGCCTGGGTAGCTCATCTGGTAGAAATGGCACCCCGTGTACAAAGGCTGAGTCCTTGCTGCAGTGAAGCAGACCTGTGGCCGTTTGCTATGTGTCGTCCCCCCTCTCTCTAACCCCTTTCCCGTCTATCTTTAGCTGTCCTATCCAATAAAAGGGTAAAGAAAACAATATAAAAAACAAAACAAAAAACACACAAGTTATGGATGCATACCATACACAAGGGTACAATATATGAGAACAAAGAGGAAGACCTATTGAAATAGCGTTAGTGCCTAGTGGACACTTAAACTGAACTGGACGTTATACAAATAAAAAATCAAGGCCGAGGCAGACCCCAAACCACCTTCCAGTGAGGCACGGGTATTGCTCTTACATAAACATGCAGTACCATTACCCAACAACCTGTACTGTTCTGACTGTACCATTTAAACAAATGCATTGCTAGACAGACCAACACAACTGTAATTTAATTGGCCAAATCAAACATGGAGATGCTTGGAATGGACTCTCCAGCAAAGAAAAAGTACCACCAAAGGGTCAGTTCACTAAAATACACATATCTACAGTATCTACATGGATAGATACTAGGGTAAGTGTTTCACGTTTTTTTTTTTTTTTAAATTTGGGTGAATTGACACTTCAATACCTCTTCAAAAAGTTATGCATATCATACACCAATTAGCTGACAGTTCATAATTAGCCACTGTTAAAAACACAACACAAATAACAGAGACTGAAAGGTCCAGTGTGTAGGATTTAGTGGCATCTAGCCATGTAGTTGCAGATTGCAACTCCCTCGCTTCACCCTCCCCTTCCCAGCTTCTGTTTTGAGCATGTCAACATGGTGGTTCAACATGGCTGTGGATAAAAATTACTCATTCTAATTTAAAAAAACAAAAAAACATTCTTGTTTTCAGTTGATTATACACTAATGAAACTATGAATATTATATTCTAGATAGAGCCTCCTAAATATTACACACTGGAGCTTTAAAATCAATAATAATTACCTCAGACCATTGCTTGTCAAATTTCTTCCATTATTTTGCACCCTTTTATTACCACTATTACTTAATCTAAGACTGGGTTGGCCAAAGTGGGGCTAGGGGGCCAAAGTTGGCCTGCCATAAGGACAATCTGTGGTCTACCATAAAGTTGCAGTTTGGGCCTTTTGAGGGAAAAGGCTTGGGCACCCCTGATCTAAGAGGAAAGATTCCAAACAACTGGTCTGAGGAATTAACCCACATCAAGGAAAGACTGGCATGTTAAAGCATCCAAGTAGTCAAAATATCTAAACCGGAAGATGTGGTGTACTGATGTTACCTCAGATTGTAGTGATCCATCTTCTTTAAAATACGTCTTTTGGAAATACTATACATACTTATGAGTATGAAAATAGATTGTGCAGACTGAATAGGACTAAAATTTAAAGTCACACTAAAATTTAGGAAGGGGGCAGGAAGAAGAGGAAAAGGTCAAAACAGCAACACATTTACAATCTCAAATTCCTCACATATTTACAAAAACAAAGACTTTGTATAAAAAGTATACATCTAGGAATAGGCCTGTGGCACACCTGATACATGAGCAAACGATGCAGATCATCCTTCTAGTCGCAGGGCAAAAACACTGTTTCTATGAGATTCAGCACACACACAAGGCAGAGTTGTGGCGCTGTGTCAGGATACTGCGTTCCTCGGAGGAGCTTCTTTCTCCCTTTTGCGCACGAGTTCCTTGGGTTTGTTCACTTTGTACATTTCTATGGGGCGTCTCCTGGGGGAAGGTTTTGGTGGAGGACCGGCCGAGCCGGCGGTGAGGAGGACCTCTTAGTTCAGGGGGGGGATGCAGAGAGCGGCGAGACCTTTTTAACGGTGGAGCAGAAGCGGCACAGTCCATTTGGGTTGTCGAGTCTTGCTTTTCGAAAACATTCGCAGAACCATCTGAGGGGGCCAGCGTGGCCCTCACAGAGTCAGCGTCAGGTAAGAGTTGTGCGGTGGCACAGAAAGCTGCTTCATACAGCCCAAATGCCTGCTCCAGAGTTGTAGAACTGTCTTTTAGGGAGGGAGCATTCACTGCATCGCTCCGCTGAAATAAAACAAATCAAAAAATAAAATTAAAATCTTAATTTAAATGTTCGAATGTATACCATCTAATTTTTCAATCCAATTACTGGTGCACATATTAAGCTTAAATTCATTCAAATTTTTTTTTTTTTCAAGAAAACAAGAAGAAACTGAAACACAACTTGTAATTCATCTAAAATTGGAAATGAGACACACAGATGAGTGATAATGATACAAGCGATAATGTAGGCAGTAAATACAGATTGAAATAATGCTGATGCTGGGTAATTTGGGAGCTAGAAGCTTTCTTAGTGTTCTCCATCTTGTATCTAATCCCTTTTTTTCAAATAAGACAGCAATGTCCCTGTCTCCCCCTACTGGCTAAAGTGGGAGGAAGATTTAAGGTGGCATCACCAGATGGTAACCATCTTTTATTAACAAAGTCATTCAGTGTTTGGGAATTTCTATTCAGTTTATATCACTTTCACAAATTTTTTTTTAAGAAATACAGCTCTCTTATAGCAGCTTATACCAGCTACATGGGAAGTTTGTTATCCTTATATCTATGCTGAGCTACACTGTGTAGCACCTCAGAAAACACTGGGCAGTCCAAGTACCACCATTATGACCGATGTTAAAAAAAGCCATCTCTATTTGGCTACGGACAGTTCACGCAGGAGGCAGGTTTATTCCTGATAAGAAGTTTATTTATTGCTGACTGTTGCTGAATCTTGAATGAACCAGTTGAAGAACCGGAATTTGGTGGAAAAGGAGTATTCCTGGTGCACACTTCTCTTCCTAATAGTTCCCGCTTGGAGCCACAGTCGCAGTGTTTCTGAACCATTCACTTAATATGTTGCCATCCCGTTTTAGGTCGTATCTAATCACGGATGTATGCATGCGCTACGTCCATGAACGTGACAACGTAGCAGGCTGATATTAAAACAAAATATTACAGGAAACTTATTTTAAATTACATTTTAGTGAAATATGTAGGCTTTTGGTGATATTATATGTTTTTTAATTAATGTATTTTATTTTTCCTCCGCATACCACCAGTGGTACGCGTACCATAGTTTGAGAACCAGTGCATTAAATCATTGGCGGGTCATGTTGCTGATACATTTTTATAACTGAGCAGTCACCTCACTACCACTCCAGGCATGGCCATCCCTCATGTTCTTCTCCATATATCTCATCTTCTTCAAAAAACATGTCATCCTCATGCTCCGCCTGTTGGCCCCGAAAACAAAGAGTGATTCGTTGAAACCAATTGTCCACTGATAAATGCTGGTTATGACCTTGAGTCAACAGCCATGTTGACTACAAACCTTCTTTATTTTAACTGGTGAAAGTATTAAACAAAATGAGAATCAAAATGGACTGGAATATATAAAAAGGACAATACAGTGAATAGCAAACAACAAACAAACACACAAAAAGTATATTTTTCCATTGTCAGAGTGGTGCTGAGGTACTTTCCCCCCCCCACTCTGCATTTGGAAAATATCTGTCATTTTGCTTGAGTTATATGGTTCATCCTCATGAAACATCACAAAAAGAGGATGAAACAAGGCTATGGCACTGACCTTTGGGACCTCACATGTGTTGTAAGTAGTTCCTGGGTATGGAACATGGTCAATTCCTGTAGCCATGTCGACAACAATCTCATCTCGATGCATAGGGATAGGAGGGCCTCCGCGCTCCTGTAGGGCCAGGACGATAACCGTGGTGTTGTCTGCACGCAGCATACGTTCTTTCCAAAACAGCAGCGCTGTGCATCCCAGCCGGCGAGCGCAAGACATTCCTTTTGGTCCCTGGAAGCAAAAATAAGTGGCAGAAAGAGAAAGAAAATGATTGTATCCATTTTAAATTTAAAGGTCACATTCCACATTGTATGATTATGTATAGTTATAGTATAGTACAATACGTACCACCATTTTGTCGTGGCTATAACACATATTGACAGCATTCTTGGGTGGCATCATATTCCATAGTCCATCACTGCCGAGGATGATGTAGCGATGGCGTTTGGGGTCAAGGGTCATCACAGTGGTATCAGGCTCTGGAGAAACCACAAACTCCCCACTGTAGAAGTCATAGCTCCACAGATCGCCTTTCAACACATAAGAAAAGTGTATCACTTTTAGAGGAAAAACATACATTTTCCATGAGCGATATGAAGTATACATGTATGGACACATAATCCCAACGGACAGGGCGTCATCTTTACCGAGGGATCGGGCCACAGCCAGGAAGGGGATCTGGTCAATGACTGTACTCCTCCTCACAGGGCCGTTATGGGTCAGTCTGGGCCTCTTCCACACGACACGGTTAACCCCAGATTTCTTCATTACACTACAGTTACAGGAATAACACAACACGTTTTTAAGATTGACAGGAAACACAGCAATGTTGAAAGGAACAAGAAGAAAAAAATATATCTGCCCTCCGTGTGGCGTTATTTCGTCTTGACATGGCCCATGACTTTAATTCAATCTTGTGACATGCCTCAGAAGAAGTCCGCTGTGAGGCTCCTGCTGGCCAACTCACCTGCCACCCAGTCGTTCAATCCTTTCTTTTTCTTTAGGAAGTTCAGGTTTATGGTCTTGTGTTACTTCAAGTGCCTGGAGCGTGATATCAGAGTCATTTTCTTTCACTCCAACCACTACTGCTGAATCGCCCACATGGGCAACATACATGTGAACTCCGCGGATCACAATCACGCTGGCCGTGGTGCCTGATGTACTGGGCAGGCCAGTAATAGTCTTTGGCCACTCCGCTGGAAGGAAAAAGACAAATAAATAAAGCAATTTGATGTAACTCGCTGATAAAATGTAAACACTGTTCATAGTATCAGTAAAAGCAATGACACAATGGAAAATGTTGATAAATTGGTCAGTTAGGATGAACTAGTTACGATTCATGACCAGGCTACTAAAGGCTGTATGAGTAGGGGTTTTTAAATTTTGATCGATTTTGATTCGATTTAAGACAAAATTGAACTTCTAACGAAAGTATCACTGGCTTGTGAAGATAATAGAAATACATATTTTAGCTGGCATTAAGGTGTTAATATTGTCTACCCAGGTCAGGAGGACTCTTCAAAGCATCTTTAAAATAATCTACCACAAGACATGTTAGCGCACAAATAAACACGTCAGCTTCAGCTCAGCCTGCAAGCGAGTCAGAGGAAAATATTAACCTTCCAGCCTAACAGGGAATAATCTGGTCCTGTATCTTCTGTATCTGTACTGAATTATAGTAAATCCTCAGTAAATCCTCCTTACAGTATCAACAGGAGGTGAATAAAAGTAAAACAGTTGTTATATTTATTCATTTGGCCACACAGATGTTTAGACCCAAACACAGAAGGAAAGCAAACCAAAATGACTGTATCGCCATCACACAAGTTTCTGCTGGCCACCAACTGGAGGGTCGTTGCATAAAGCATGTTCGCCACATAAACCAGGCTTACTTGAGTAAATCAGGCTTATTTATGAGGAATTCTGTTTGATAAAGCAGGATTAAATATGTCACCATGCAAATGTACTCTTGCAGAGTAGCTTTTTATAGACTAGTTTAACCAGTTTTACATTCTACCAACCAGACCGAAAGTAGCAGCAATGCACTGTTGTTTTGTTCATTTGACATATTATATATTTGCATGCTCCATGGTCGTGGACATCTTTCTCTTAACCTCTCTGTTTTCTTCAAGAATCAATGAATTCACATAACCCACGTCTCAGGTCTGTGTTTTAAAGCCACGAATGAGGAGCTCCTAACCCAGATTTGAATTAGTCTGCTCACATTTAGCACAGTTGGCTCTATGAAAAAACAGCTTCACCCTGGTTCAGCGTGTTAGGCTTACTCAAGTTAGGTTTTTCACAATAATAACACTATGTGTCTGCAGTGCTTTCTGCAGAGGTATGTATGCACTGCAGAGTGTCTCACAGTGAAGGACAATGCCTTGTGTTTCTGTCAAATAAACAGCGAATTAAATACATACTCTTCAGTAGCAGCAATGTTAAAAAGGAATGGCCACCATCATACAAAGAGAGCTGCGGGTGAAAATCCCCAGACCCCCCAATTGGATTGACAGTTGTGAGTTATATTGTGGCATATATCAACTGTGAAGGCTGTATCGTGGTCAGATGACAGCTCGCTGTGTTCGTTTGTTATGGGATGGGCCAGTCGGCAGAGGATTGGGCATCACGGTACCAGCTGAGGAGGTGGATACTGCCTCATGTGACACAGCCTGCCATCTAACGGTGCCGAGACTGTGGCATCAAGGATCACGAGCAGTGAGCAGAAATAAATACACACAGCAATACATATGAGGGTGGCCAAAACAAGCAAGTAGGCTAACTTGGATGACTTACGTAGCTCTTTCCACATTGCATGGTGACAGGCGATGAAGCCCTTCCGAAGAGCGGCACACACTTCACTGTGATCCGTCGACCAAAACCCCCGCTGCCTCTTCAACAAATCCCACAGATTCTCTCTGGCGAAGTGTGCCGCTTCTCGCCCCCCGTGGCCGTCAAACACGGCGAAAAACGCCACAGATTTCCGAGTGTCGACTACGTGCTCTGCGACTTTTTCGTCTGATGCCGGTGCACTGTTGTCGGCACTGTCCTCGTTAGACAGGTTCTCTACCCACATTGCAGAAACCGGACCGGACTCGGCAGCGACGTCCTGCTCGTGTGTCTCATTTTCAGTCTGTTTGGTAGCTTCACTCTCGGCTTTCCCCTGTCCTCCATGTCTCTGCGACTTTGGATAATCTTCCACTGGCGACGGCGTCGGCTCGTACTCGATTCTTATCTCGACAACATCCTCCATGTATTTTCTCCCCCCTTGCTCGGAAAATGCGCTCATGCGAAACACTATTGCGTCGTCCATGATTGTGAACGCCTAATGTTGACTATCTAAGCAATAAAGGGGCACATGTAGTTGCTAACTGTAGCCTGGAAGCTAAATTTTTGAACCGCTTTTTGCCGCGATTGTATGGCCGAAGGCTTCCTTCCTTTTTGTTTATCTTCTCCTAGACGTCCCGCTGTACGTAATGACGTCCTGTTTTTCCACCTATCAACTTAGCAACGACGCACAGCACGTCCGACTGTGCTGCCTTTACTGGGGCTCGAAGACACTGGAATTCCATGTAGCGACCACATGTGACTACCGTAACTTGATGATATCATGTTCATGTCGTTCTCATTTGTCTCAGACGAGCCCAGCTGCTGTCCTACGTGCTTTGGCATTATTACAATAACTCAAGATAACTTTTTAAAATCGATTCTTCGAAAAATGATGAGGCCTTAGAAGAATTGGTATGGTAAAACAACAGCCAAAGT